GCTCCTGCTCCTGCAGACGCCCTTGTAGCCAGGAGGAAACCCTGACCCGACTTCTCACTCCACCAGTGCCCTGGCTTTATGATGTCCCCATGGCTTGGGGAGGGGGGGCAGCAGGAGAGCAGGGGCGGGGTAAAGGGTAAGATTAACCCCTGGGAGGGGTGAGAGGCGGGGGAAGGGAGAGGGATCTGCTGACAGGGCCTGACCAGTGCATATGTTCGTAGAGAGCTGGACAACAGAGCAAGGGTCGGGTGGCACTTCCTGGTTGGCGCAGGCTGCGGGCAACTGGCTCATTGAGACTGGCAGACCCATGGGGACGAAGGAGGAGGGGACAGGTGCAGAGATGGCCGGGCACTGTGCAATTCAGTCTGGCAGTGGGAATAAGGAGGCGTCGGCCTTTCCTGGCTGGGGACATGGCTGCAAATCCGTGTCTGTGTCACAGATGCAACCCCCGCTCTGCAGAGTAGCAGGGGGTGCCGCTGGCCTGCCAGCTGGCAGCTCCCCCCTTCCTTGCTCAGGGGAGATAGCCAAGTCCACCAGCCCCATTGCTGGCTGACTGCCTCTGTTACCCAGGGCCGAGCCGAGCCGGGCAGGGCAAGTGAATTCCCAATAGATTCAGTCTTCAGTCTCGCAGGGTGCGTCTGCGCCCGGGGTGTCCAACATGCTAGCCGCAGGGGTCGGCAACCTGTTCAGAGAGCCAAACATGAACATTCAGAACAAGGGGTCTGTTCGCATGGCGGAATGCCCATTTGCATGACTGAAAATCTACAACATCCTATTATTGATCATTGACACAACGATTAATAAGAGCACCAATGAAACATTGTACTCACAGACTATTTAATGGGACTTCTGCTGCTGCAACTTTTCACACATTTCTTTGATGTTTTCATCATAACTGGTCAAATCCAGCTTCATGCAGGCATTCAGGCTGTCTTCTGTCAATCTTATGGCAAGGGCTGGGGATGTGGGGGTGCAGAAGTCTGGGTTGGGGTGTATGAGGGGCTCAGGGCAGGAGATTGGGGTATATGATGGATGCAGGGCACAAGATTGGGGTGTGTGGGTGGTGTAGGAGTGTTATGGCAGGGGACTGGGGATGTGGGGGGGTGCATGAGTTTGGGGATGTGGGGGGCTCAGGGCAGGGGGTTCAGGTGTATGATGGGCTCAGGGTTGGTGTGGGAGGGGGTGCAGGAACATTATGACTGCATCCAGATGGGGGCTGGGCCCCAAGTGTGGGCTTGTTGGTCAGCCTTAATTTTTAAATCAGGGAACCTTTTTTGGGTCGGGGCCACTGACCCACAGAAAAATCAGTTGGGGACCACACAAGTTAGAAGCAAAAAAAAAAACCAACCCTTCAACTCTCCCCCCCAGCTTTCACTGATGAGACCCCCAACTGCAACACCTCTCTCCCCTGGTGCTCCAGCCCCATGGTGGGGCGAGGGGCAGGGAGGCCTGAGGTTCAAGGCCTCAGGCCAGATTTATTCTTCTGAGGCTCCAGGGTTAGTGGATTTTCTGCCTCACCCCCAGGCTCTGGCTTGGAGCCAGAAATGAAGGGTTAAGTGTGCAGGACAGGACCGCCACGGAATGGGATAGGGATGGGAGTGCAGGATCTAGGCATGGGGTGGGGTGTAGGAGAGGGTGAGGGGTGAGGTCTGGCCATGGGGCAGGGGGATTTTGGCCAGGGGACAGAAGGCAGGGGGTGTCTGGCCATGGGGCTGGGGCCCCAGGCTCTGGCTTGGAGCCAGAAATGAAGGGTTAAGTGTGCAGGACAGGACCGCCACGGAATGGGATAGGGATGGGAGTGCAGGATCTAGGCATGGGGTGGGGTGTAGGAGAGGGTGAGGGGTGAGGTCTGGCCATGGGGCAGGGGGATTTTGGCCAGGGGACAGAAGGCAGGGGGTGTCTGGCCATGGGGCTGGGGGCACAAGGAAGGCTGTCTGGCCAGGGGAGGGTGAGGGAGGGAGTGGGGGGTTTGGGCATTTACTTGTTTTCATGCCACGTGGCAGGCACCATGTAACGTACCAGCCTCCAGGAAGGAGGGGAACAAAAATAGTGCGCAGGGAGCCATTTTTGGCTGCTTGTTTCTCGCATGCAGGGGGTGGGGGAGGAAGGAAAACACTATTGCTCTGAGCCATTTTTAGCTCTGCTTGTTCCCTGCATGCTGGATCTGGCAGGGAGGCTCAGGGCTTTCTCCCACTGTGGCCCCCAATCCCCACAGGAGGCCAGTGCTGGTGTTCCAGCACTGGGGAGGGGAGGCTGCCGTGAGGC